AATAATAATAATAATAATAATAATAATAATAATAATAATAATAATAATAATAAACACGGTGGTGTCAGAAAAAAGACATGTATACCATTGAAACAAAATGAAGACCCGAATATAAGTGCACATAGCCTCAGCCACTTACTATTCAACGAAAGGCCAAAAAGATACAGTGAAGAAAATATAGCATGCTGCTTCCAGTCTCTGTCAGTTCATATGTGCACCAGTCCTTTTGTGTTTAGAAGGCCTTGTTTCTAGTGGCCTCTAATCCTTCTGGTTCTTATATTCTTTCTGCCTCATTTTCCACAGGGTTCTATCCTCCTCAGGGCCCTGGGAGGAGGGATTTGAATGGAGACATTCTGTTTAGGGCTGAATGTCCCAAAGTTTCTCACCCTTTGCATAATATCTGGCTGTGTGTACCTGTATTTGTTCCCAGCTACTGCAGGGTGAAGCTTCTCTAACAGCGATGAGCGAAGCACTGATCTATGAGTATAACAGGATGCCAGTAGGAATTGTTTTATTGTTACATTCCTTTGGTAGGACAGCAGTACTTGGTTTTAGCCTAGGTCCTTGGGCATTTTAGGTTCTTGGTCATCTGAGCAGCATTGATTATGGGTTCCATCTCATGGAGTGGGTCTTAAGTCAAAAAAGATATTAGTTGGTTACTCCCACCAAGATACGTGTCACCACTGCACTACAATATCTTAAAATCAGGACACCATTGTAGATCAGTAGGCTTATAGCTAGGCTGGTGTTTGTTTCTCCTTTGGTAGCATAAAGATTACCTTCCTGTACCAAGAACATTAGCCCATAGGGGTAAAGGCTCTAGGTAGGAACTAGCTCAATTTCTCCATTATCAATGAGTTCTGTAGGCACTGTCTTTAGTAACAGGGCCTTGTCAGTTTGAGAAGAACATTCTAAAGCCTTGGCAACACCCTGGATTGTTTGTTTGTGAGTTCCCATGGGACTTCTTCAGCCAACAACTCAATTAAATGTAAATGTAATGATTCTTGGTACTGGAAGCTTCAGTTGAGATTCTGTCCCACATCAATTCTCATGAAAGAATGCATTTAATTGGGGGCTTACTTAGTTTCAGAGGGTTCATCCAGTATTATCATGGCAAGAAGCAGACAGGCCTGAGGAATAATAGCTAAGAGCTTTAAATCCTGATCCACAGGCAGCAGGCAGAGACAGAGACAGAGACAGACAGACAGAGAAAGACACACACACACACACACACACACACACACACGGGGGGGGGGAGGCTGAGCCTGGGCGTAGGCCTGGACTGAGCTTCTGAAACCTCAACATCCCCCACCCCCAGCGACATACCTCCTCCAACAAGGCCATACCTAGTAATCCTTCATTAAATGTCTACCAATGTCTAGGGACTAGACATTCAAATATCAGAGCTTATAGGAGCCACACTCATTCAAATCACCACACTACGAAAGTTAAACGAGAACATTGCAAGTGGGAAGCAGTAGAGAGTACAAAAGCAGAGTACAAGAGATGTAAAGGGGAAATCAGAAAAATAAGGAAAGGGGAGGAAAAAAAGAAGGAAGAGAGTAAAATAATAAGGATGTCTAAAAAAGTCATAAAATCACATTATTAGCTACATAAAATAGCTATAATACAGATAAATACATACTTTAAATGAAAATTTCCAATCCGGGCTGAAGTTCTACCCCCCCCCCCAAAAAAAAACAACCATAGACTAACAACAAAAAACACTAAGGATGAGGATGAGAAACCCTCTTTTGAGTTGTTGGTCAAGATTTTCCAAGAGACTCCCAAAACATAATAAACTATTCTTTTGCCCCAGAGATGGAAGTTAGGTCCCTATTGTTGAAGACACCCAGCACACTGGATGAAGGACCCAGAGGATAGGAGCTGAATATGGCCTGAAAGCCTCCTCCCTAAAGACTAGCTTTCATTGATATCAGAAGGCACCATACAATGTTCCGAAGGAGGGAACACCCAACAGTCCTACCCAGTTCCTATCCATAACAATAATGAAAGAAAATGGCCCCTAAATTTGAATGAGGGCAAAATTAGGGTACATGAGAGGGGTCGGCGGAAGAAAGGGGAAGGGGAAAATGATGTAATTAAAGTCTCAAAAATATGAAAAAGATACTTTATTTTAATCATGTTCCAAACTATTGTGTAACCAATTTCATAAAAAGATTTCAAGACAAAGTAACTCCAGCTAAGGAATAGCAGATAAATTTAATACCCCATTTCCTCTAATAGACTGGACACAAGACAAAAAACAAA